GATCCCCTGACCACCCTATGCTAGCTGTTTGAGCTCACTCAAGATGAGCCTCTCCATGATCCTTCCCAGTACCAAGGTCAGGCAAACAGGCCTCTAGTTCCCCAGATCCTCCTTCCAGCCCTTCTTGTTGATGGGCATCCCATTAGCCACCCTCCAATCATTGGGGACCTCTGCTGTTGACCAGAATTGTTGATAAATGATGGAGAAAGGCTTAGTGAGATCCCCTGCCAGGTCCCTCAGCACTCTAGGGTGGATTCCATCAGACCCCATAGACTTGTGTATGTCCAGGTGCAGAAGCAGATCATTAACTCATCAATTCTCCTGGATTGTGGGGGGGTTGCTCTGCTCTCTGTCCTTATCTTCCAGCTCAGGAGGCTGAACACCCTGGGGTGAGCTGGTCTGACAATTAAAGATGGAGGCAAAGAAGGCATTAAGTATCTTAGCCTTTTCCTCATCCTTGGTTGCAATGCTTCCCCCCACATCCAGTAAGGGATAGAGATTCTCCCTGGCTCTTTTTTCATTTGTAATAATGTATTTATGAAAGCTTTTTTTGTTGTCCCTTATGTCAGTGACCAAGTTAAGCTCCCACTGGGCTTTTGCCTTCTTAATTTTCTCTCTGTATGACCTAATGAGATCTCAGTACTCCTCTTGAGTTGCTTGTCCCTTCTTCCAAAGCTGGTAAACCCTCCCTTTCTTCCTAAGTCCCAGCAAAAGCTCCCTGTTCAATCAGGCTGGCCCTCTTTCCTGCCCTTTGCTTGTGACACATGGGGACAGCCTGCTCCTGGGCCTTTAAGATTTCCTTCTTAAAGAGTATGCAGCCTTCCTGGACCCCTTTGCCCTTCAGGATTCTCTCTATTTGCTATTCCTGTCCCTGTCTATCTCCCTTTATACATCAAAGGTAAGGGAGAGAGTCAGAGCTTCATTAGTTCTTAATTTGTTCTTCCTCCTTCTACAATCTACAATCTTGGCAAGAAGGACACAACTTAATATCCCAAGTATTTCCTCTCTTTTTCACACCAGAATTAGGTTCACGTAAGTCATATGTGAGTATAAGTGTGGGTTTTACTGCTCTGTGGAAACGTCTGCTGTAAAGCACAATCTAATCTTTGGTACCTTTTTCTGTTTGCTGACGAGAAACAGTCTCTCAGTGTTAAGACCATTGCTAAATACTTAGCACAAACAGTAGCAGTAGCCAAAGTAACTTTGGCCAAAATGCTAAGCAATGCTGCTTACATGCAGTAGAAGTACTTGGTGAGAAAGATTTCTGGAAAAGTTTGTACAGATGTCTCCTTCCAATTTCTGGCCAAAAGGCAAGGATGGCCTTCATGCTCTTGTTTTCAAGGAAAAGAGAGAGGAGTATTGTACCTGTACGTACCACCTCCTGCTTTTCCTTTGTTTAAAAAAGATGTCTTACAGTTTTTAACCTTTGGCAACTATTTATTGTTCTGTCCTGCTTTCCTGACTGATTGCAAACACAAACGTTGCAGTGAAAATGATAACACTGGCTTCTTGCTGTCAACATTCTGGTTTCTTCAGTCAAGGAAGGTGGAAACGTATCTTTGCTGAATTTGATGTAATGATAAAAATAACAATGAACTCAGCCTCCAAGCCACATGAATAACCTTTTTTGACAGTGTGAATTATTTCAAGAAGCTGTTCCAGAGATTACATAAGTTTAGTAGTCTAACCTATTTCACCATGAACCTATATACCCTAACAACACACAAAGGCTCCAGCTGTCTAGTAAGAAATAAATTTTTCTACTAAGATATGCAGGATATTACCCAAGTATCAATGGTGAAGAGACTAAGGGAGTATCTGAAGTGCTATTCCAAAATTTGAAATATAACACTCTTTTTAAAAGTCATCTTTTACAAAGCTTATTATACTGATACTTTGAAGCTGTTCCACGACTATTTGGTTCAATGTAATAAAATGAAACCTTATACTGCTGTTCCAGTCAAAAAGCAGTCTAAGATGGTCATCTCAGATAGATTTTTTTCCATCTCAAAGTCTATTTCTGTAGAAATGCTCAAGTTTTATAACAGTGTAATGGAGCATATAAACTGGGCCTAATTTGTTGTGGTGTTAATGTATTTACTTAACCCAAACACTTATGTTTTCGTACTACTGCTTATCCCCTTGACTTGTCTTCCTCCCACAAAGAGAGAAGAATTTAAAATCTTTATCATTGGCTTTGAAAATAATTTTTAGTTTCTTAGGAAAATGTCTTACTAGATTTACACCACTGGAAGAAGATCCAAACTTGGTCAGTTGGTGCTCAACATATTTCTAGGCATGCAGTTGTGTACAAACAATGCCAGCTTAAATAAGAAAACAAAAAGTATAAAATACAAAAGTATAAACAAAAGTATAAACTACACCAGACTGCTTGTACAAAGCTGAAAAAGGCACCCATCACTGTTTGGGTTCAGTAACTACAAACCCAGTGAAAATCAAGTCCAATACATGTTCAGAATTATGGTGACTTCCAACAAAATGTATAATGCAATGCTAATGTTAAAAATTATGAAAATAAGACTCCCTGAGCTCTTGATCAAAATTATTGTTAAAAAAAAAAAAAAAAAAAAAAAAAGTATAATGAGGCTCCTGAGATAGCAGCAACAATGGAATTAACAAGATATATGATCAGGTTGCATGCTCGGGGCCCCAAAGACTGACACTGGACCTGACCACCATAATAATAAGAATGAGTGAAAAAGATTCATTTATAAAATACAGACACCAGCGAGAAGGCTTAAAGGTTACAAAAAGTGGCAATCCTTGGAAAGGAAACAGAAAATCTTCATTCTGGAGTCTCAGGTGTACTACATAAACATCTATAATGGTCACAAGCACCTATTTTATTACTGCCCAAGTAGAATATCTGATTTTGTTAATCTGAGATGGATTTAATACAGCAGCACTTTGTAGATAGAGCAGCTCATCTGTGGAACAAACTGCTCTGCACTTTCTTGCAGCATGGGGCAGAATATGATGAACTGGCTCAGCCAATACACCTTTGTACTACTGACCTCAGATACAAAAAGCTATGCTGCCATTTTCTGCTACCAGAATTAATGTGCATACGGATCTGTTAGCAAAATTAAACATTCACACTGTATTTAAAGTGTAATTTAAGTATTATTTTTTTCTACTACGTAATTTTTGCATCAGTAGTTATTTTCTGGAGATCACAGTCTAGCTGAAAGTTGCTTGGATGCAAGAGACAGGACAACACTGGCTTGTTCACCTCCAGGTGATTTTCTTCAACTGTGCCAGAATTCTGTTTGTACAGCTGTTGTGCTGCTTTTAAAATAGGTGAAGAATGAAATCCCTTCATGACTGATTAAGTTTGTTGTTTTGCATCTCTGTGTCAAGTATATTTTTGTCTGGACTGATCTGGAGTAGAGAATTCTGGGGTTTCTGCAGGTTATCAGTAGACTGTTCCCACATACCTTCAAGACTATTTGTGAAGTGATCCTTAATAAACAAGGAGACAGGAGACATTGACAGACTCCCAGGTACAGTTCTTGACAATAGTTCGTGTCAATATTCCAGATAACCAGATGCTGGATCAGCTTTGAGGTAAAGCACTAAGCAGAGCTGTTTCATAATAAAACTGCCTCAGGGGAGCACTGCAGTATCCTGAAGACCCTACTGCCATATAACACATAATGTGTATATTATGGCAGGTAACCAGGATACAGAGGTGATTCCTCTGCTTTCCCTTTGGTTGATGAGTCTTCTCCATTCAACTAAGTCTCCTGTACTGCCAGGATCTGCCTGCAGTCAACCTGCAAAGAGGATCTGCCTCAAATCAACCCATAAAGCCCCTGTGATTCACTTTATATGTGGGATTTTTTTATGGACCAAAGCCAAATAGCAAACAGCAGAAACCAAGGTCTGAACTACAACTCTTAAAGAAAGTACCTGAGCAATGCCAAGAAGTAGATGGATGCTGAGTCCATAAGCTTTTTACACTTAGTTCTGCAGTAGTTGCTCTAATACTTTTTATATCCTTCTCTCTAAAGAGGTTCTATCCTTGCAGTCTGGCACTCAAGAATGTAATGCTACAGCTACAACTTCCTAACAGTGAACAGCACAGAGAAAAAGAAATCAGAGTTTCAGGCTTGTAAGGGATTATGATAGATAAGTAAGGCAAAAAATAACTCAAAGAACTCTCAAAAAAATCTTGAGTTTCTTTAAAACCAAAAGCACACAACGAATGGAATAAAAGATGCAAAGCTGAAGTCCCCGAACAGCAGGGCTGGAATCTATTAAAATTGGTCTTGCAGCCCAGGTTCTAAGGGATGTTCCAAGCCATTCCTTCACAGCATGAGCAATGAGACAGTGGGAAGTGAAGTAATGCAATGAACAGCTGCTGAAGGGTAGGAGAAATAGGTCCCAGCATTTTGGGTTGCCTAGAAGCCCAGACTGACACCCCATGAACAGCTGAATTCCTTCAGACTGCATTATCACTTTGTTTGCATTCTGAAATTTTGTAATCCATTGAATATTACAGAACATACCCAAGAATGTAACATAATCTTCAATTTTCAGGTATGTAAAGGTATTTCATGAACAAATTGTTCTACGCTTACTCCAAATTTACCTAAGTTGTTATTATTCACCACGGCAATATTTCCAGTGGCTAGTTCTCCCCATCTATAGCTATTAGTCAAAGTGACATAGGAAATGTTGAAGCAACAGATCTTGTTAGAACACTAATATTACTAAGACAGAAGTTAATAATTCTGCAAGTTAACTTTATGACTAATTAATCACTAAATGTGATGAGTGCTGGAGGCATTCTATTCCAGATACACATCCTAATTTACCTGCACTAAGGCACACTTCAGCAAGATAGCTTTGTGGTTGAAATTTAAAGCAATTAAAATGCTGAGCTAAAAGAAACTCACTTTTGAACTACCAGGAATTCAGGCTATGAAATCAAATCTTTTGTATTTAGTGGATGTCATGCAATACGTCACCCTTACCTCCATGGGAAAGGCCTTGAAATTAACTGTGTGTTCAGAACCACGCTGGTTTTCTCTCCCCCAGTGAAATCGAACATCATGTAGTTCAAACTCATGTCCTCGAGGTAATGGCCCGCCTATTAACACTGGCAAAGAAGACAGACTGTAAGGAACTTGGCTTTCCAAGCAGACAAGCCACCAAATATATTCTCCAAATACAATGGGTAGGTCATTGCAAGCTTTTTTATTATTAGCAGTACTAAAAAGGAGAAGAACAAAGATAACAGACCTGATGTCTTTACTTTTGAATTACAGAAAGTGAAGCCAGGCAGTTATGAACAACAGGGAAATTGCTGTCATGCTGCACTCTTGGTGAGGGAGAACAGCTGGTCATAACACAAAAAAACCCCACATTGGACCTTTATCAGAAGAGAGAATATGTTTATTGCTCTTATCAAGACAGTAGCTGTGTGCTCTAAACAGATGGTGGGAGTTCTGAACTGAACTGGTAACTACTCCCAACTTGTCCAAATGCTTGATATCCATCCCCTATATTTGCTATGAGACACCGAAACTGATACAAAACTAGTGATTGCCAATACTTGACTAGGTAAAGGTGCTCAGTCACACACCATCTGGCAGGCTTCTGGGATACAGAATTGCCTCCATATCTGAACATAATCAGACTTACACACACGAGCAACTACATACCTCATTTACTCAAAAATTGCTTCTAGGAAGCCCTGGTGTTTGGGGTTTTTTACTTCATTTTTTGAAACATCTGGAATTTCATAAAAGCATTTATCCCCCATTGCAGTACATACCAAAAAAAAAAAAAAAAAGTACATAATAGCTTGATACTTTTGCATTAATAGAGACTTCCACCATAAGTAGTGAAAGTGAGCAGCTGTGTCTTGTGAAGCCAAATCTACTCTGGAATCAAGCACTGGGAACATTGCACCCAGGGATTTGTGAATCTGCTTCAGATCAAATATTATTCCACAAGCTGCACAAGATAACTTCCTACTTAAATCATTGAAAGTTGGCTTCCAGGCAGGGCTGGATTTATTTACTGGCATTCACAGTCTTTCCCAGAATCCATTAAATTCTAGCTTACTTCTCATAGACTTTGAATGAATATTTTACAATCTCTGATAACTGATAAGGATTATTTAATGACATAATCTATAATTTTAAGGAATTTAAGTTCCATAATTAAAAGTTATTTTAACACACAAACAAAACAGCCTTTGTTGGCAGCACAAGATGTAGTGTAGTAACAAAACACAATTTACCAATTAAATCATATTGCAACTGCACAAACACAAAAACAAAAGTAGTATTAAAAAGCCTAAAAGAAAAGTGATTAGTTAGAGTTTTCATATGCAAAATTACATTGGAGAAATAAGCAAAATACTCTGATTAACCCCCTTTCAATAATTCTTTAAAACTAATCTAACAGCCATTAGGGTTTCTAAAATGAAATGTCCTAAATACACTTACAGATTCAGATTTGTTTCTTAAACTTGCTTTATCTGTATTCTATCTATACCTATATCCTCTAAGGAAAATCAAGAAATCTGGTGAACACTGGGGGAAACAGCCAATTATTCAGAGATCTCTGAACAACTAAAAAGAAACATGATACTTAATTAGTGCTGTACCTTAGGAAAATGGAGCATTTTCTCTGTTTTAAAATATTGTTCCTAGAGAAAGTGTAACTGGAACAAATGTTCTCTGTATCATGTAGTGCTGGATCTGCAGGAGCTTCAGAGATTTTATTTCTGAGGCTTAAGTTATAACATTGATCCCATGCTAAAAGCATTTCAATGCATGAAGCATATTTATCTTTTCTTTGCCTTTCATCAAACCATGATCCCTGTCAATGCATGAAACATGTTTAACTTCCCTTGGCCTTTCAGCAATTTTTGATCCTCATTAAATATTATTCTGAAACCAGCATCCACTGCTGGCTTAAGAGAAGTCTCTCTGTTAGTGGGCTATCCTCCATTTGCAACATGCAATTGCATTACACAGTTGGTCATGCTTCTTCCACCTAATGCATAACACATGTACAATGATCAAACTGGAAGCAGCCTGTGAAAATGTTTGCAATTAAATAATAAAAAGGATTTGGGAATTCCAGATGGATTGTGTGTCCTGAATTAAAGTATAAAATCAATCACCACTAGTGACAAATTGAATTTTAATATGTGTCTTAATCAGTTTAGGTTTTTTCTTTGACTGTTAACACTGCAGTAGATGAAGATCTCTAGCACATTAATTGGACAAAGTATCAAAAGCATTTAGTGCTCAACAGTTCCCATTAAAATAATCTGGCTAAATGGATTTGTCATTAGAGATCCCCTGTGAGGAAAAGAAGCAGCAGGAGTTTCCACAATCCCTGAAAATTGGCCAGAATACCAGGTCAAACAGAGCTTATTAATTCTTTTCTCCTTGTGGTAGGGATAACAAATGTTGTCTTCCCCCTCCCAAAAATGAAAAAAATTATCCTAAGTGTACAAATGGAGAATGGGTAATTATGTAACATGAAAACTAAGGAAAAGTTGAAAGTAAAGCAACATTTCCTAAATGGTAATTCCATGCCTCAGTCATAAGCCTTTATTCTATTTCATATTTTCTTGTATTTCAAGACTCATCAGTCTGGCATCACAGCGCATTCAAGTTTAAGAGGCAATCTTTCCTTCTTCTAAGCCTCCAGTGGATTTCCACATGCATTTAGGTATGTTGGTCCCCTCTTACTTAATCATTGTTACGAAGTTACAAACTGCCCTTGGGACAGGTAGGGTTGAATGAATTTCATTTTGGCATGCAAGTGATGACATCATTTGTGGTCACTCTCACTTCCTCCACAGGAGAATTCATGAACCTTCCTGATCCTGCAGAGAGAACCTTACTCCTTGGGAAAAGAGCTCTGCTTCTGACGAAGGCAGTAAAACTGACTGGAAGTATAAAATTTCTATTCTGTTGGAAATCTGAAAAATTCTGTGGAAAAAAATGCTCTGTGTTGCAATAATACATGGAAATTAACATGGAAAGGAAATTATAAAGGAAAGCATCATTATTAAAATAACAAACCATTCCTTTTAAAAAAATTCAGTGTAAAATGGAACCGACTCCCTCACTCCCAGCACAGCTGCAGCTCCCAGGACTACTGGGATCTCAGAAGGAAACAAAAGTTGGAATGCCTTATGGTTTGACAATGTTCAGCTGCTTAAATGCCCCCAAAAGGCTGTTACTAGCTAAGATTGGTTAGAGATACTTGGATGCTCTTCCAAACACATGGTAAGAACTACCACAGTACTGGAAAACACTTCCTACTTTCTTAACAGTTGTCCCTTTCATTACAGAATGGTTTACCCAGGTGAAAGGTCTGAAAGAGATACTGCAACTTCACTTAAGTTGGAATTGTTTCTTTTATTATTTACTCTTAATATTTATTTGACCAATGACACCAAAAAAAAACTCCTTAGGAAAGGACAGCTCAGCTACCTGCTCTTCATCAATATTGTAAGCATGTATAACTGGAGTGTCTTCAGCTGCCCAGTTCTGTGCTTAGTATTTGCAGCCCACTCTAATGGAAAAAGCTCTTTCAACTTACACAGTCTTTGGACCAAGGACACATTTTGCCAGCCTGCACAAAACAGTTTGGCATCACACTGTCCCAGCGATAGCCTGGGCTGCTTCTGAAAGCTGACAACTGTTAACGCCCGTGAATTAGGTGGCACCAGCACAGGAGGAAATCCAGGACAAGCAACCTGAGTGACCATCCAGTCTGGCGCTGAAACTTGCGGTTCCCATCGCCAAGCTCGCCCCTTCCCCTACGGCAACAAACACCCGGTGCCGGCGCAGCCCCGCCGGGCGGGCAGAGCCGCGGGCTGTTCCCGCTCCGGGACTGCCTTGGGCAAGCTGGGAAAGCGAAGGCCGTGTCTCAGCATACCTGATTTTGACTTCAGGGCAATCTGAATCGAATGCCCGTCGTTGACGACTTCGCAGTCGCGGCACACCACGTAGTTCGGCGACAAACGCACTTCCAGCAGCGAGGGGTCATACTTCGCTTCTCTCGAGTTCAGGTTAATGGGCGACTGGTACTCCCCGTTAGCATCAGGGAAGATCAGCCCCCACTCCACTCCTGAGGCACAAGGGAGAGGCGTTACGGGGGTCCCGGCACCCCGCGGCTTCCCGGGACAGCCAGACCCCCCCGGCGGGGACAGGGGCGGCTGCTCCG